GAAGGCTGACTGCGCTGGACATGAAACATTGAAACCTTGCCGGATTGTAAAGCAGCAATAACTTATCTACAGGCAGAAACCTGGGTTCAGGCAACTCGCAGGTGGACCAAGACCTAGATGGGTTGATTCGGTAGAAAAAGACATAACACTAGCTAGGGGTTCGCACATGAAGGCGGAAAGCCAATGATCTATCGGAATGGAAAGATGTGGTGGAGCAAGCCAGGGCACTACATGGGTGAAAGCGCCACTGATAGTGATGTAACACATGTGCTGCTACTGCAGGGCCGTGCACAAGAAAAGCTGACATCAATAATTTATATGCAATACACCCAGGCCCGGTTTAACCATAGGCGAACTAGGCGAGCGCTTAGGGCGGAAAATTTTTTGGGGGCGGCACTATTAATTAAATAATTAGTTGCCGTGGGGGGGGGGGCTCAGTGCGACAGGTTCGCCTAGGGTGCCAACTACTCTGGCGCCGGCCCTGAATACACCCACGCACACACCTGTAGCATAATCCATGCAGGACCAGATTAGCAACTACGTGAAATAAGCTTGTATCATTCATACAGGACCGGATTAGCCATTAAAGAAAATAATCTTGTATAATCCATACAGGATCGGATTAGCCACTAAGTGAAATAAACATCAAATGAAAGATAATTGAATGGACTATATGCTTGTAAACTTTTAATTCTTCTGTTTAACTAAAATTAACTACCACAAATGACATACCAATAGCATTGAATCTAAAGGGACCCGGGTCCGAATAGCGGCGATGGGTTTCCTGTTCCAAGTGGACTAAATGCTATTCGGATGTCATTCGTGGTAGTTTATTTTAGTTAAACTTAAGAAGTAAGTTTAGAAACATATAGTCCATTCAATTATCTTTCATTTGATACCAAATTTTGTCTTACAAACCCTACAATAATTTTTTAATATTTTTTTTAATAAACCCGGGTCCCTATAACCGAAGCCTATTTGAAATGCACACCGAAACATATTTCTTCGTATCTTTTTTCTTTTAATACCAAAATAATATATATATATATTTTTTTAAAGATATAATATCCCCGATCAATTTGCAATCATTCATAAAAGAAATTCAACAACTCTAGATTAGTATCAGTGAGGACCTTTTAAAACCCAGTTTTCGGGGGGGGGGGGTATTTTTGTTACGTTATTTAAGGGGGGGAGGGGGGGGGGGGGCAGAA